ATGACAACTTACCTGTGCATATCCTTAAGAGTATTTCTCATTGTATATCGGATCCTATAGTATATAACAAACTTCTATTTTTCTACGGGTATTTATCCTGATCAGTTAAAGAATTCATTAATTAAAGCTGTGTTCAAGAAAGGACAGATCGACGATGAACATAATTATCGACCTATATCTCTACTTCCAAACATCGGGAAGATTTTTGAAAGAATAATTTACAGTCGAATATCAAATTTCTTAGAAAGCCGCGTCATTATCTCGGATAGTCAAAACGGTTTTAGAAAAGGGAAATCGTCAGTAAGAGCGATTTATCAAGTACTAACAAAAATACTAAATTCATTGAATAAACAAAGCTAACTGTAGCAATTTGTATTGATCTATCAAAGGCGTTCGATTGTGTAAACCATAAAATACTATGCCGAGTTCTGGATAGGTATGGCATCCGGGGTATGGCGTTGGAGCTAATAAAGTCTTATTTAGTTGATAGAACCCAGCAGGTTTTTGAATATGACAGTCAGGGTAGATTGTATATAATTTATACGAACGAGCTACCTAATATAGCGAGGGAACATACAGCTCTCTATGCCGATGACACTACGCTGATCTTTGATGCAGAGAATGCAGAATTAATGGAAGTTAAAATTAAAAGAACTTGTGATATATTGGTGGAGTATTTTTCGTTAATGGGTTTATCGATGAATACATCTAAAACGCAATGTGTAGCTTTTGGTAACAGAGCAGAGAATGCGTTTACACTTCAATATAAAAATGATGAAATTATTACAACTAAGAACGTTTCTCTGCTTGGTGTTGTCATGACAGCAGATTGGATTGGAAAGCGCATGTTGATGGTGTTGCAAAGGGGGTATCAAGACACGGCATTGTTTTGAGGATTGTCTCGGAGAATGTAGGCGAAGAAGCTGCATTGACAGCTTATTATGCTTTTGTGCAATCTAAAATGAGATATGGCTGGGTAATTTGGGGAAATTGTACTGATATAGGTAGAATCTTTCTGCTACAAAAAAGATGTATTCGAAATATATTTAGGATGAGCCGTTTAGAAAGCTGCAAGAGTGTTTTTGTAGAGAAGGGTATATTTAGGTATAGATAAGGTAATTTTTGTAAATCGGAACAAATAAATGAATATCTATCTATCTATCTACTTTTTTTGTGTGATAGTTTGTTGTACATTACTTTACTTTTTGCTAAATTCATTTTGAGACCTACTTTATTGCCGGCTGTATTTAGTTCGTTAATTTGTGCTTGTAGTTCTTTAGGACTATTGGCAATTAGAACTATGTTATCAGCGAATCTTATATGGTTAAGTTATTCTCCATCTATTTTTAATCCTTTGTTGGTTCCGTCCAGTTGACGGAAGATTTCTTCTAGTGTTGCTGTAAACAGCTTTGCAGATATCGCGTCTCCCTGTTGTACTGCCTTGTCAGGGAAATCTGGTGTTGTTTTATATATCATTACTCTTGGCTTTGACTTCTTTGTATATATTAGCGAAAGTATCTATATAAGACCTGTCAGTACCTAGTTTCGCTAGGGCTTCTATTAAATATTTTGTATTAAAAATAAATAAATAAATGAAAAGCCTCCAGAATCGCCATTAATTTTGTATTATTCAGATTAAATTAAAATTCAGACTTTAATCCCCTAAAGGAACCTCGTAAAGGAATCTCCTAATTTTCTCGGTTACGGCCGGCTAATATATTACACATAAATTAAATTTTTATTAATCCATTTACAGGCATAATGATATTATTATCGTTGATTTTAATTTTCTCAAAATGTCCGCATCTCATTGAATAGCCATTCTTAATTAAAAGCTTATTAAACGAATTAGTTAAGCCTTATGGCGGCCTATCAAAGGCACCGTACTCATGACAAGGCTCCTTTTGATGAAATAATATATTGACAAAAGATTAACGGAATGGATATGTGAAGCGCTTTATTTGAATGGCGAATTAAATAACAGGTTCGTATGTCTTTTCTAGGAGGCTTGAAGAATTTTATGATGATATATAGTCATAAATACATGTAAACGTACTAGGACAGGAAATATTTTATTATTCACACAGATGTATACAAAATATCAGGGTTGGAAAAATCATGATTTTTTAAAAAAATAAAAAAATCAGCTTTTTTTAATTTAAATCGGATTTTTTGATTTAAATCAGATTTTTATGATTTTAATTCAAAACAGTATTTAAATCGTATTTCCAAATGACTAGGACTTATTTCCAATTAAAGTTCTATCCTAAATGGCTAAATCTTAATAACTCTGAGCGATACCGATAACATTAACAATTCTACGGGGCGTGTCATTTTTCCACATCGGTCACCAATATATTCTGCAAAAAGTCACTCGCTTCAGATCAAAAGGATTTTTTTCAAACGTCTCAAAAGTATTAATTTTTGTCATTCTAACGGCTATAGGCATAAAAGTAAAGCACTGTTACGCCTAAGCACAAAAGTACACAAATATATTATTAAACTGATATTAGGTGTCAAATTCAACGAGTTTACAAATCGTTTCTCGATTACTGTGTATTATTTGCAATGTTTGAAATTGATTAAAAAATTATTTGGAATTTAAAAAAAATAGTTCATTATTCGGAGTAAAATGTACTTTGTGCCTCCTTGTAACGTCGGAAAAGCTTACGATGGTATAGCTTTACGATGGTCCTTCAAATGTACAGCATCGTCAAAAAAAGTATAATTTCTACTCTTAATAAAACAATACACTATTGTTCGGAAATAGTCTTAAGTCGAGAATGAAAATAGTATTATCTAATGCCAAAGTGTAAAGTACATACTGCAAATGAAAATGTAGGTAAGAATTTGGAAACATACTAACATTTCAAAAAAAATAGAACAACATATTTTCTGACGATTATACATTTTCGGGAATGAAGATATAGTCTCTATATCAGAAGAACCTAGTTCTGCATTAGTTGCCGAATGATATGTATTCGAAAAGCGAATTTTTGTCACATAAATAACTTTTAAAATAAATTCCTGCGTCTAGCGGTCTTATGGATTCACACGAAATTACTTCAAAAATCGGTTCAACATTTAAATTGATAAATAGATATTTTTATATAGTTTTATAAAATTTACAATTATTTTTCGATTTATTATCTGTTATAGAAATATTTTTGATAGTTTTCTAGGATAGATTTTTATAACTTTTACAGTTATTTTTTGATTTAATATAAAGTTTCAATAAAATTAATTTTTTGATTTAAATCACATGATTAAAATTAAAAAAATCACTTGATTTAAATCACGATTTAAATCATGATTTAAATCTTTTAATGCATGCCAACCCTGCAAAATGTACTGTAAAAAAATAAAAGAATTATGTTCCCAGCTAAAATTTTAATACCTGCTAATTTATCCATATGACAATTTTTTTAGAAATATATCTACAAAATATTGTGCCGTCTTTTGTGTTATAAAATATTACTATAGCATTGGCAGCAATAGAATGTATGATTCTGACAGATAACATCAGAAAGTGACAAAGATAACAATTATACGAAGGCAGACAAACTCACCTTATATATAAATCTTAAATTAGGGTAATCCCTGTTCTTAGGCCTCTTGGGTACTATCACAGCTTATTTAGTACTATATAGGTGAGGGATGAGTCTTAAATAAGTACAAATATTTTTAGGGGTGGTATATTTCGACGTCGGGAATTCGTCTATGAGTTTTTTTTCGCAAAAAAAGATGTTGAAAATCATGCATTTTCTTTTATCCTATATTGCTGCCTATTCACCCCAAATTTTCCCACGGTATAATTTCTTAATCTCTGATATTATGGTGGCTCTCAATTTTCTTTTAAAATAAATTATTTTTTTTTAATTTTCAAACTTGAATAACTCGGTTATTTTGAACTAGGTAGCCCTGAAAATATTTGCACTTATTTAAGACTCACCCTGTATAAGTAGTAATTTTCACTTTGTTTTTGAGTATCCCTTTTGAAAAGTGGATACAAAAGTATGAAACGAATGCAAGATTGTATGGATACACGATTATGATTGTATACAAGAATATGAATCTGAGGTCAACCTCATGTCACATTCTCATACATAAGCCAATAGTCTGAGCGTCATTCCTGGTCATTTTTTGGATCATTAAAGCTCAGAAGCTGACTTGTTACATAAGGTTTGCGAATATATTGGTAGCTATGCAGAGTTGAATGCGAATGATTGTTCAGTCGGAATGCTGAGTTTGAATAAGCTGTGATCTGTGATATCATTATAATCCGTCCATAAAGAAGAAATATAATTACACTATCAAAATAAGTACAGAATTATTAACAACAAACTTCTGAATTCAAATGGCAATCTACAATTTTACTGTGTTATACAAAACGTCTCTTTGATCCTTTTAAGCCTCTTGGATACCTTGGATTTAGTGATAGCGAAGGCGAGACCAAGACTTGCATGCTTGGTTTTGGTCTTGCTAAGTACTGCACTGGTCGGTTTTGGTCTTTGAAGTCTAACACTTACCTTGGTCTTAAGTTGGTTGCTTTTCGTGCAAGATCAACACCGCAAGACCAGTATCGCTAATCATTATTTGGGTTTTAAAGATTTAATTCTATAGATCCCGTCTGCTACCTACGTTTTCTGTGTCTTTACCACTCTACTATACTATTTAAACCATGCAAAGATCCATAGACCTTTGTACCACTTGAACTCTTTTGAATTCCTGTTTCAATGTCCAAGTTTCACAACCGTATGTAATGACTGATTGTATATTTGAAAATCTTTTTTTCCCCTTTCTTTACGCAGAGTTGCATTCTGGACTATAAAATAATGGAATTTCGCCCATTTGATCTCCATTCAAATTTTATTCTTCTGGTAGTTTCCGGAAGTACTAAACCGTTATGCGACATTTAATTTTTTCAAAAATAATGGGCCGTCCTTTGTCGGAAACACTGCGAGTAAGCTCTTCTGTTGTTTTCTCTCGCACATTGTAGAATGGAGAAGATTTCTGCGTGGAATACGGTTGAGTATTTACCCAAGGAAAAGGATAAACTTGCCCTTGGTCTTTTCCTAAATACTCCAGCTCCTGTTCCTTCAACGGTCTTTGACCCGCCGCGCCTGTATACCAGGTTAGTCCGTCCTGAAGGAATGTTGTATCTCTCCACATTCTTCGATCCATTTTATTCACCTCGAATGGTTTGTGGTAGTGATAAAGAGAGGTCATTTGGTCCGATCTCATTTGGAGCAGAGGTCCACCGATAGAATCCCCCATCTTTAAGTGTTCTGTTTCTGTGCTATTCTCCAGAGACAGCACAAACATACCAAATGATTATTCGTATATGTATCTTTGATATAATGGATTAATCTGCTACGTTAAATATTATTCACTATAATGCCCTGAATATTTACCAGTTTATTTGTATATACATGACGGAAAATATTTGAATATATTACATTATAAATATTAAACATACTACAAAGACAACAAAATAGAATACTAAAAACAATATTTAACCTAGACACCAACAGAAGTAGTGTACCAAAAAACGAAAGAATTATTGTACATATGACAGTTAATAAAATATCATATAATATATTACTTTTATACAAATTTAAAAAGAACTTAATAAAACCACTATTACTTTGAAAACTAATAAGCACACTTACGAAACCAGAAGAAACTAGAATAGAATCAGACATCAGAACAGCCAAGAAAACTAAAAAAATCACACAAAAATCTACAACATAAACTACCACCAGATACAAAATTAATAATAACTTAATAAAAACAACTATTACTTTGAAAACTAATAAACACACTTACGAAACTAGAATAGAATCAGACATCAGAACAGCCAAGAGAACTAATTAACAACAGACAAAAAACAAGAAATTAACAACAGAAACTACCACCAAATACAAAAAAAAGTAATACAATAAGGTTTTGAACTTAAAGAAGAAGATCAAAAACATGCCAAAAACAACTTATAAAATCGAAAGTTATAAAAAAAATTACTCCTTCGATATCATCTGCAGGGAGAATCTGCAAGTCTTCAAACTCTTGCAGATGATGAAGGTTGTAACCGATAACTGATAAATAAACTAACAAATCAAATAAAGTTATTACAAAAATGCTACAAATTCTTCTTTTCTACGACATTTCGTAAGCTTAATATCACACAGATTCAACTGGTAATCGTGTTATAAATATTTATATCAAGATATGCAGGACAATAAGTTAACGTTATTTGAATGAATTTATTTATTTTAACTAAATTATTACGTGGCAGCTTACAAATTCTTTCACGGAACATAAAAACGATACTCCTAACTACTTTTTAATGGTTGTTTTGATCTACTTTCGGCTAAATTCTCAAATAGAGCAATTATACCGGCATAAAACTACTGGAAACGGGAACAGACGGGCGGGTGCGATAACCATCGTTTTTGTGTGTATCATTTTTCTTTTCGGCTGTAATTAGTTGATTGACAATGATAATATATTAAGAGTGTTAATTGAATAATTGATACCTTCGCTCCTACTTTACTGAAAGATAATTTATTTATTTCGCTCGTAATTAATGTTTACAAGCAGGAAATGGAGCGATTATGAGCGATATAATTTCTGTTTGTGCTGAATTGTAAATTAAACAGGTTAATTTAAAATAATTTTTTGAATTTTTTTTTATATTATCTTCTAGGTCTATAATTTCAGTACTTTCTGTTAAGCACCATATAGGGTTCTGGCAAATAAAAATGATTGTACACTCACCGGCACGAAAAAGACACTTTAAAATTTTCAGGTATTTTAAAGTTTTATATATTGTGTTCTAGTTAACCGATTTTGATTATTTTTAAGCAATTTATAGCTAAATTATTTAACTTTTTAGTGTCTCTTTTTAAATTAAAAGTTTCCATCTATTAAAAGTTTCCACCTATTAAAAGTTTCCATCTATTAAAAGTTTCCATCTATCAATTATACGAGGGAAAACAAAATATTAGTATTTTGGTAAAAGTTTGAAACACCATGTGGAGTACGTTAATAAAACAAGGAATTTAAAAATTATGGGTAAACTTTCGTTTAGCTGAAATTAGTTATTATAAAAAAAAATGTCTTTATAAAGCTACTGTGAACCACGGAAAACACAAATTTTCCTGCGGAAATGCGTAATTTCCAAATTTCGCACTTTAGAATAACTGAAATCTGCTATAAAAAATATATTTAGCGTTTTATTTTTAATATTTTTCTGAACATATAAACACAGAAATTTTCCTGCGGAAATAAGTTGTTTTCATTTTCAAAGGGAATTTATTAGACTTTAGAATAGCTGAAATCAGTTATATAAAAAATAAATATATTTTTGTCTTTTAAAGCATTCACGAATTGAGGGAAATAAACATTTTTCTGCGGAAATAAACTGTATCCATTTTCTGAGGAGATTTAATAGACTTCAGAATAGCTGAAATCAGTTATATAAAAAATTAATATATTTTTGCCTTTTAGGAGCGTTCTTACAAACTCAAGAAAATAAAAAATTTCCTGCGGAAATGCTTGATTTTCATTTTCCATTTTTATAAGCATAAATACATAAAAATTTGTCTTTTTATCACTTTTGAACCAAAAAAAAATCATTTAAAAGTGTCTAAAATGCTAACCAGTCTAATAATAAATCTAATAATATTTTTACAAAATTACAGTTAATTATTAGAATATGAAAACCACAGCTTAAGACTCTCCACAAAGAAAAGCTAACCAAAGCAACCCAAATCCTAACCAATCTAATATTTTTGCAAAATCACAGTTAATTATTAAATATAAAAACCACAGTTTAACACCCTCCACAAAGAAAAGCTAACCAAAGCAACCCAAATGCTAACCAATCTAATATTTTTGCAAAATCACAGTTAATTATTAAAATATAAAAGAAAACTGCATGATCCAATGATTTTTTGTTTTGAATTAGCCCTATTTAAGTAAAGCTTTAATAAAAAACAAGAATAAGTGCAACATTCCGAGGTACTTATAGTTTAGAAGAACCTATATTATCTATTCTACAAGAATTGTTATTCCTCCGAAAGATGTTTTACTTAGTCTAAGGTTTTACTCCCGGGTTTGTATTTCTTTGCTCGTAACGGCTCGTATAAAACAAATATAAGTTCATTTTTCATGTAACTGATTTCGGTTATTCTAAAGTCGAAGCATTTTTTATGTAAAATAAAAATAAAAAATTTCCACAGACACTTTTTTGTGTTTTTATGTTGAGAAAAATGTCTGAAACACACCCCGAAGACTAGTTTTGATGTAACAGATTTCGGCTATACTAAAATCCGAAAAATGAAAATGACGCATTTCCCCAGGAAAATTTTTGTGTATTTGTACTCCTAACGCCTTCTAGAACGCATATATAAAGTCATTTTTTATATAACAACTTTTCAATATTTAACTTTATTTTTTTGGAGATATTCGCTTTTGAAGAAAACTCTAGCATTTTTTCGTATTTTTTACGTTAAAAATTAGTTTCTATAAAAAAAGAGATTCTTTAAAATAGTATTTATGATTTATGTAATGTTACTGTCTTTGATAAATTAATTATTATTGTCTTTCTATTTTTTTGCAATTAGTCTAACAGAGATGGTTTTAAGTCCAAACATTGATCTCTACCATGATCAATTAACGCAGCAATAGCCGAACTTCAGAACTTAAAACCATCTCTACTAGAGTAAACGTTAATACACAATAATAATATGACTTTTCAACGACAGTGACATTACATAAACCATAAACACTATTTTATAAGTGTGTTGATGAGGCATGCTTTCAATGCTAAAATTGCTGTAAAAGCTAATATCTCCAATAACAATAAATCTATGGAGATGAATCAAAACACAAACTATCAAGAAAAGACGTACCTAGATGAAGAAATAATTTTTATATCCTTTGCTTTGTTCCACGATGTGTTTCAAATTTTCACCAAAATATTTTATATTTTGTGTTCCCTCGTATAATTGAATGGAAGGTTTTATTTTTAATTTATAACGAGATACTAAAAAATCAAATAATTTAATTACAAATTGCTTAAAAAATCATCAAAATCGGGCCACTACAACAAAATATATTATTAAACTTTAAAATACTTCAAAATTTCAAGGTGCCTGTTTTTCGTGTCGGTGAGCTAACCTAACCAAACCTCCTTAAAATACTTATTAAAAAGACACCTTATATATTACTAAGCTATTAAGAAATTTGTAATAACTAACTATTATGGGCTAATTTAATAAAATTCATGTTGCAAAATTTTCACTTTTAACACATAATATTATTCTCGTATGTATCCCTCACGTAAACGATCACAACATTTTTAACAGAAAGAATTCACTTTACGGTAATCATACCCCATTTAAGGTACTTATTAGTAATCATTTAATAAAAATCTTCAGTTCGATTACCATTATCTCAATTATCTTACATACGAACGTCTTTCATCAAGTACTAACTCGAAAAAAAGCGACACGTTTTTCGCTTGGCACAAATTATGATGTAATTTCGGAAGAAACAAAAGGATATAAAAATATTCTTAAAGACCGAAAAATCGGCTCAGCTTTAATTTGAAGGCGGTGTCGCAAGAAGAATTTAAAAGGTACGCTAAAATAAGAAATGAAGAATTCACATCGACATCTGCTTTAGACTATGTTGAGATGTAGATAGATTCTTTCAATGGTACTATTCGAAACAAATACGGTAAAAGTTAAATGCGGACGAATTTTGATATTAAACACTCTCCTAACATTAACTGTTGAGAGAAAAAAATATTTAAAATTTTTGGACGAAAAAAACTACCTATCAAAAAAGTTTGTATAGCATAAAAGTCAAATTTAGTGATTACCACAGCCACTGTGACATAATAAGAAGACATGTGGCTATCTATTTCAAAATTTAAATTGTTCAAAAATGTCATATAATAATGGCGGTAGCTGTCATGGAGTTGAGCGATTAAAAACTTATCATAAATCATTTTGTTTAAATGGAAATCCACTTTTTTTACTTCACTAGTGCAAAGGTTTTCCAATTCGTTACATTTTGACTATACATATTCCTATACCTAAAATAAAAAGATTTAGTCTGAAAAAATATATATATTTTTGATTTTATCTTCCTTTGACATTAAGTGTCAAACAGTCAGACAATTTATTTCCATCTGTCAGAAAACGAATTATTTGAATTTCCTATATTATAAATACTGACTGCTTAAAAGTTTAAAAAGTGTATTTATAAAAATATATATCGTATTTTCGCTCTTTAGTGATATATAATAGTTGATATTATTAATAATATACCGTATGATCGAAAAAAAATGCAGAGTTGGCTTGGAAATGATGATCGACAACATACTGCTTTTTGAACAAAGTATCACAATATGACATGGCCAGATCTATTGTTTTACATCACTTGACGTTTAAAGTCATAGGCTACTGGTTAAAATCAAGAAAAATATACGCTTTAAAACTAAATCTTAAATAACTTAAAAACAATTTATTTTATATAGTATAGGAACATATATATAGGTATAGGAACATGTATAGTCAAAAAGTAACAAATTGAAAACTAGTCTTAGTCTTTTCACTAGTCAAATAAAAAAAGTGGGTTTCCATTTGAAAAAAATGATTTATGATAATTTTTTAATCGCTCATTTCCATGACAGCTGCGGTCATTATTATATGACATTCAAACAATTTCATTTTCGAAATAGATAGCCACATGTCTTCTTTCTATGTCACAGTGACTGTGGTAATCACTAAATTTGACTTTTAGGCTATACATATTTTTTTGTTTTTTTTTTCGTTCCAAAAATTTTAAAATATTTTTTTTCTCAAAACATGGTTAATGTTAGGTATAGAGTGTTTAATAATATCAAAATTCATGAAATTTTACAGAAATTTAAATATGTAATAAAATGGGGTACCCATTTAAAATAAGAAAGTTGCTGTCAACTTCCGGTATTTCCGGAGAGCCGCCATATTGAAAATATTTTTTTAATCCGGTAGATCTCGTTTGTGAAACAATGATGTTCAAAAATCTCCGATCTAGGTATTTTAGTTCTCCCGAGAGCTACAATGCACTCTCAGCCTGGGACACACTGTACACACTTGAGAAATATTTCGTCGGAGAACCGCCTTGTAAAATTCAATTATTCACCTATCCGAAATTGAACTGTCGGCATTGTGCTGTATTTTCCATGTACAATTCAGACTTCAGACTATGGTACTGTTGTGCAGTCTTTGTAGGGTGAGATAAATATAATAACAAAAATTAATTATTAATTAAATTATTGTTGTTAATATTTGTTATAGTACGTTAATTTATGAAACTAAACATACTTGCGTATACGTATACGGGACGCAAAACATCAGACATTACCCAAATTTCAATTATGGGGTGGCGCACCTCATTCGCCTCAGTTGATTATACAAAAACGGATAGATGTAGAAATAAAATATTTTATGGGTACCTATGTGGGAACGTTACATAATTTACAAAAATTATTTTGAGAATGTTACAGGGTGTAATCAGGAACTAAGATCATTACAAAGGAGTTATATTTTCTTATGGAACACACACGGTATTTTATTTCATTTTATGGATTCTTGGGCATAATAAAATAAGGTACGATTTTTTCAAGGGTTATATCCAGAAAATCGACAAAATCGAAATCTTTCTAGCTAAATGGCAGAGAGCTGTGCGTTTTTCGACACAGTTTAAATGGGACAAATATAGAGCTTCACTAGCTCTCTCCGTAGATGCTTCACTGGGAGGTTTAGCTACTTACCATTTCAAAGAGGAAACATCTTATTTTATTTACATCTTTATCTTACACCTAGCTGGTATAATTTAACATAACGACCAAACGTCAAAATTTTCGAAGTGACTTCCACACTTAATTTCCAACATTAACACCTTAAAAATTATTTAGAATCCATTAGAGATATTTTTTGTCTTTGCAATATATGAGTGATTACAAATAGGGTTCAAAATTAAAATTTAAATTTATTTAATTTTTTAAGGTATTTATTAAATTAAATTATTAATGATTTTGATTACTTTTTTTCCTTCCTCAAAATTTATTCTACAACATGTCCTTATTATCAGGAATTATTATGTTTTTAACTAAAATGGAAAAAATGCAAAACATTTTCGAATAGCCAAAAAACGTAGAAGCGTACCTGGAACGGTACTGGAACATATTATTCCTAAAAATATGGTGCACCTGCTAAAATTCATCCACAATATACTTGATTTTTAATTTTATTAATGTAGAAATATTTTTCAGCTTTGGAAAATAAATTTACTTAATTTTTATGTGTTTACGTCAGTAGCTTGCTTGCGTTTTGAGTTAATATACTTTATATATATTATTCTTTCATTTTATTAAAGAAAATCATTATTTTGTTCTTTCTATGTGAAATTTAGATTAGAATATTCACCTGCACAAAATTTATGGTAATCACCATCCAAGGCACAACAAATGTTTCTTTTTCAACCCAAACATTATACTTCTAGCAAATAAACGTCTATTACACCGGTTGTTTAATTAAAATCTAAGATATTCTAAAACCTTCGGTATACTTCAATGTAAGTATCAATAAATGATATAAAGCGGTTATGAACTTTTCTGTCACTGTTAACTTAAACGTTTTTATTATTATTATTTAATTATTAATAATAGCGATTTCTTATGGTAGTAAGATTATTCAAATATTATTAGAAAATTACAATCAGTTTTCTACAAAATGTTTTCGTATTGTAATTTTATTGATTCATAATCAATAAAAGGAAGTAAAAATTAAAAAGAATTTTTAGTTTAAGAGATGTATCTCTAAGAATTAGTTCGTAGTTTTGTGCTTTTATTCTTTTTGTTTTTATAATAGTAGCTACTTCTAATCAATTTGTACTGCTATTTTCTTGATCATTTCTAAGAGATGATGTTGGCTTTACGTTTATGAATTCTGTTTCATAATTAATTTAAAAATATATTTTTATTAATATATTCATTAATAAATCAGCATTAGGTAAATATTTAGCATAAAGAACGATATAAATATACGTGTCAAAGTAAATGTTCTGTCGCTAAATCTAATGTCCTTCATTATAATAAAATTTTACTATTCATGTATAACATCTATTTATATGGCATATTCATTCAAGAAGCAAAAATTAATATCGAGTTTCATCACAGGTAACATAGTAGGTATGTGTTATCTGTGGTTTCATAGAAACCCAAACAATTATTAAGATATTTTAACAGCTTGTTACGTTTATTTTTCATTTTAACTTATTTAACTATACTTGTTTTTAATTTTCTACTGAATTGAATCTTGTTTTTCTATTATGGTATTATTTACTTACATAGAATTATTGAAAGAATTATGTAATTTGATATTATACCTGGTATAGTATATAGAAGAATAGTAGAGGCCGAAAATAGGTTACAATGATTACTTAAATAGTATACATATACCGGGTGTTAAAGTGGGCCTTTATAGTTTTTTTTAGAGGCGCCCCTATAACTTTTTTATTTTTTTCAAATCAAAAACGACATTGGTATGTTAGTATATGACATAAATGAGGATTGATTGACGTTTAGTCGTTCGTAGAGTTGATTTCGTTTATTTCCTGTTTCACCAGAAATAACTACAACTTTTGATTTTTAAATGGTACCTTTACTATTATAGCCATGGCCATAAAATAAATGTAACGACAATTTGACTCGAACTACCATGTGGTACCAAATTATTTGTAAAAAATGCTTTTCCAAATATGTTTTGAGACACTCTCATTCCATTTAAAAAAAATAGTTATGATTAAAAATGCGATTTGGGCATCATTGATTGGGCTAATGCGGCCAGGAAAAGAAACAGAAAACATTAGACGATCAGGTCGAATATTGAATAGAGTTGAAGGGGTGAATTATTTTAAAACCTAAATAGTAGTTATGTCTCTGTTTAATTCCATTACTAACAGAATGCTTTCTCATTCTTTTGCAGAGTGTAAATGCCCAGGGAGTGGTTGGTGGTAGTGACGAGAATATTCAAGAAGTATGCCATTCCTGTCTCAGAGGAGCTTGTAGAGGCATCAACGGTATCTACACTCGTCAGATCTACCGCCAGGGTACTCATTGGTAGCCCAGGTTCCAGCAGGTGCTTGTGGATTACACGTCCAACAACTCAAACATACCAGAAATTTAATAGGTAAATTAACAATCTTATTACCACTAGTAAATATGTAATATTTAATAATACCATACGATTCGAAAAAACGGCGTCAAAGTTGGCTGGGGAATGACAATCGATGATAATTTCGGCGAGGTAAAAACATCATAGGCCTTAAGAAGGTTGCAATTTATTTTTATAGTGAGTAAATATGATTTTTAAATGGAGTAGTTTAAAATTCGAGGAGAAATAATTTCTTCGAAATAGATTTGTAAAATGTCTGGAAACGTTCTATCCTTTTTTAATCGATGTATAATTAGTGTTAATTTATGACAAATTAGTCGTAGTAGTAGTAAATATCATTTTTTAGTAAATGACGTCTAGAGATTGATCTCGCCAAAATTATCATCGATTGTCATTCTCAGCAGTCTTTGACGCCGTTTTTTCCGATTATATGGTACTAGTATCTAAAGTAATAACACCCGCTTCTACTTAAAAAAGACTTCTACCATTATTTTTTACAAAATAAAAACTAATTTACCAAAATACACCAAAACACTAAACGCCCGTTTAACTCATATTATCAGATGCGCTTTTACCCTCTACTGAATGAATAACAGTTAGCGAAGTGTTACAGTGTTAAAAATAGTGTTTTGGTGTATTGTTGTGAATTACTGTTTTATTTTGCTGTTGTACCACCAAGAGTTCCAGCCCAAACTTTATTATATTAACTTTAAAATGATTAATAAATTTATTACAAAATAACTTCTCATCTTCAAAATACACACAGATGTAAAAAAACGCAGCGAAAATATTTTCCGTCCAATTTACATTATTATAGTTTTTTTTTATTTTAAGCCTTATTTTCATGAGTTTTTTAGAAAATTGCATATAAATATATAAATTTTAATTCGTAAACTCTTTATAAGCTTTAGTATTTGGCTTATTAAACTTAATCAAAAGCTTGTTTTTTTTTAATCTACGCTACGTTTAAAACACCCTGTGCAATAATTTGGTAGCCAAATATTCATAAAACATTATTTTTCGATCAGAATGCATGTCTTCTGAGCATTTTGTTTTTTGGCACATATCAACACATGCCTTGGTTAATTTTTAAGAGCGAAACGAATTTGCTACCAACAGTTTGCAATTTTTTTAATAATCATTACTTTTTGATGATATTTTTCAATGTGAGGAGGTGGCTTTGGTGACTATCATCGTAATGTCACATTGGCATCGCATTAGAACTCTATATTGAAATTTAAAAACGTTAAAGAGTAACGATACAGTCTTGGTTTTAATAAACATTATTAACAATACTAGAATTAACGATCTTAATAAAATATAACTGTATTGAATTAGTATAGAAGCAAAGTATGGAAAAAATAACCTTATCTTCTCTGGCTGCTATAATTGTCATGTTAAAATGTATAAAAATAGTTGAACTTTTTTGATCGTAGAGTGATGAGTGTGTAGCACTCTAGCCACATATTCATAATTTCGGCCATGTTCAACAAGAGCAATGGTTTTTGGCAAATTCTTTGACACTAAGTTTTAGAGATGAGCAAAAAATCGCCAACTGCGATTCAGCGAGATTGCGATTTCTTCGATTAGCGAGTTTCAATTTAGGCAACCAATATTACTAGAGCTATTATCGCAGCCATATCGCAGCTATATTACTAGAGCTGCGATTTGCGACCCTGTTGCGATTTGCGATTTTCATTTTTTTTACAGCGATTGTGATTTTGTAAACTAGGATCGTAATTTAACCTTCTATCTGCGAGTTTCAATTTTTAGGAGTTGCGATTTGAGATTTTGTTTACGTATCTCTTCTAAGTACCAATTCAATGGCAGATATACAATTACAACAATAGTCACCAAAGCCATCTTGTCATATTGAAAAATATAATCACTAAGTAATGATAATTGAGAAAAATTACAAATTGTTGGTGGTAAGTTATTGCGCAATGAAAATATTGCACAGGGTGTTTCAAACTTAAGGTAAAGAACAACCCTTTCGATTATTCCTGTATAATAATCCAAATACTAAAGTTTATGAAAAGCTGAGAATTGAAATTTACAAATAAAACTTGATATAAAGGGACATTAAAACAACTTTGGTTGCACGCCGTCATCAATGATACCATGCCATGCGTCGCGTCCTCTTATGGAGTTTGCTGGTGGTCGTATTATGATGTGCAACCAAAGTTGTTTAATTTCCCTAAATTTACATATACAATTTAGATATTAAATAAATTAATAATTAAAATAGGATTTAAAATAAAAAACGTATAACAATAACACGTTAAATATGACACGATAAAAATTCCGTTGCGTTTATTTTGCATCTGAGTGTATATTAAGTGACTGAAACTAAAAAAGACATATGTATCCCTTTTACGAATTCGCCAAAAATTCATCAAAAAATTGTTCTTCTCAATATTTGAATTCTAAACACCTTTTTTTCTTTAAATTACTTTAAAGGAGAATATATAAATCTGGAAAGACATTAAGTCAGGGTTTGAGTTATTTTTATATTGTGAATCTCTTAAAGTGTGATATATGATATTGATGTTGTTGCTAAAATATTGATGTCTCTAGTTTAGCGTTTATGCCTTTTTGTCTAAAACCGTTCAAAATTTGCTTTCACATTCCATTCCATTTTTTTGCTATTCTTAAAAAAATCTAGGTACGCAATATAATTACCCTTAGCTCTCTCTAGGAGGTCTATATATCAACGATAATTTAGATAATCGTTCGAACTTTGCATAAGTAATAACATGTTAGTTCAAGAATTAAGCCTGAGACGCGATATAAAATGCAAATATGCACAAGATTTTCTACGCTTGTTTGTTCCTGCTTTCTAGGATTAATGAAGCTATTTTAGCCTGAGATATACGTTTTATTAGTTTTAATTTTATCAAGTCTTGTTGATTTTTGCATTTTTCTTGACTTTTCAGCTTTAAAAGTGTCTAATGGGTCTTACATCCTCAACGGAGATTGGAAATTTAGTCCCAGCAAGTCGTTTGAAGTTGCAGGGACGAGATTTTCTTATATAAGCCAGGATGGGACATCTTTGGAGACAGTAACAGCACCAGGACCCTTACCGTTTCCAGTTGATATAATGGTAATTTTGTTTTCTAAAGTAACTAAAATATCTAAGAGGTAAATTTTAATCTTTATACAGGGTCCGGCAATAATGCGTGGGGCATTTAGAAATTTTGTTCAATTGCAAATCTAAAGTATGTTCTAGGATGTATTTCAGGAAAATATTTTAACTTCTATAGGGTGGCTCAAAAAAGTCTGAGTGGATCGGGATGATGTTTTTTAAATGGAACACCCTGTATATTATTGCATTTTTGGCTTCTTTTCAGATCACTTTACATAATCCTAAGATATGAGTAAATATATTTCGATAGGTTCAGATATACATTTTTCAGCCTTTGTGAAAAAGAATATTAAAAATACAAGAACTGTCCTGAAATCAAAACTATATTACATATTTACTTTAGATGGTCTGTACTTACTTTGCTGTAAATAAGGTACCTGTATATTATTGCATATTATTGCATTTTTGGCTTCTTTTCAGATCACTTTACATAATCCTAAGATTGAGTAAATATATTTCGAGAGGTTCAGATATACATTTTTCAGCCTTTTGTGAAAAAAAATATTAAAAAATACAAGAACTGTCCTGAAATCAAAACTATATTACATATTTACTTTAGATGGTCTGTACTTACTTTGCTGTAAATATGGTAATCGTAAATCATACAGGATGTTCAAAATTGTATGCCAAACTTTCTAAAATATAAAATATTTTTCTTCGTTTTTAAATCAGACACTCTATATATTATTTTTTCAATAGATGGAAAATTAAAAATGAAATTTTTTGTATTTATAGCATTTCAAAATTTTCAACGGTTTTGCAGATATTCGCTGTTTTATATTTTATATGGTATTTTCCATAGTAAATTTTTATAAAAGCCACCCAATGATTTTTCTCTCGTATTTTACCGTTGAGAGAGCCATATGAAATAATACTGCGTGTATCTGCAGAAACCATTAAAAATGTTGGAAATACTTTAAATAAAAAAAAGTTCATTTTTAATTCTCCATCTAATAAAAATAATAAACAAGTGTATCATTAAAAAACAAAGGAATATTAGTTTATATTTTAGAAAGTTTGGCGTAGAATTTTGAACTTCCTGTATGATTTAAGATTACGATATTTACACCAAAGTACGTATTGGTCATCTAAATTAAATATCTAATATAGTTTTGATTTCACAGGACAGTTCTTGTATTTGTAATATTTTTTTTAATGAAGGTTGAAAAATATCAAAATATATTTATTCATATCTTAGGATTATGTAAAGTGATCTGAAAGGAAGCCAAAAATGCAATAATATACAGGGTGTTCCGTTTAAAAAAATTGGCGCCGGGGGCACGTATAGCCGCCCATACTAAAATATGTTAATAAAAAGTTGGTAGGCAGCTCTTTTAGTTTCAAAGTAAAGGATTTTTTCCAATTTTGGTCCGCGGTTATTTCCCCTATCCACCACCTGGGGTCGCGTCCGATGGTTTGGAGTTCTTCACACGGATTATCTCAAAAACAGACTACGGAAACACGGAATATCTGGAAAACTGCGACTTTGACTGATTTTTTGATGTTATTACAAATTTTGTTGCAAATATTATTCCTAATCTTAAATTGAAAACCGCGTTTCGCTAGCTACTGTGATTTTGGAGTTACGATTTTTTAAAATTTTTAACTCCCTCCCCTACCCCCTTACCAACCACCCAACCCCACCAAAAACTAATGGCCAGATTCTCGGGTGCCACAGTATTTTTGTGCCAAATTTGGTTAAAATCGGTTTAGCGGTTTTTGAGTTATCGTGTTACAGACGGACAGACAGACACCATGAAAATATTTTGTATTTAGGCACAGAATATCTAGCTACGCAACAGAAGCCTCGTTACATGTATAAAATCGTATATCTCCAAATCAGATATTTTGATGTGGTAGTTTCACTACTACATAACAGAGGGCGATAAATTTAAAAGAAAACAGTTTTCTACAAACGAAATTTAAAAGAATTTTATGCAGTGTTGCCATTGTGTAATTTATATTGTAATATTTCCTGATAAAGCCTAGCTTCAAATTTGCTACATCATTTAAACATATTAAGAGCTCTTTTTCAAACGTTTAAGTATTTAACTTGCCATGTTAGTTGGAGTTAAATCTTACGAGCTGAATTAAAATCACTTCTGACGTTTGATTCTAACTGAATCCTGAATTTTGATTGTAATTCGGCGACAATATAATAAGTATTGTTCTACTATTATGACACCACTTCCTGACGTTCGATTGTGTTCATACCGTATGATCGGGAAAAACGGCGTTAGCGATGGCTATGAAATGAAAATCGCTGTCATTTATGTGTAAATTTATATGGGAAATGTCATCGATCGTCTTTTCCCAGCCAACTGGACGCCGTTTTTCGGTATCATACGGTATTTGATATAATACTTGCGTATTTTTTCATGACATTGCAATATTATGGTACCATGAAGCATATCAAGTGATACCGTAATATAGTACCATATTACGATACATGGCGTACGATTGGGCTTAAACTTGGTATATTACGTATCTTCAGTGACATTGTAATATTATGGTACCATGAAGCATATCAAGAGGTACCATAATAGTACATAGAGGTACCATATACGATAGAGGTACCATATACGGTACCATTTCCTGGCGTGCGATTGGACTTATACTTGGTATAGTAAGTATCTTCGGTGACATTGTAATATGATGGTAGTATGATGCATATAAAGTGGTACCTTAATATAGTACCATATTACGATACCACTTCTGACGTTCGATTGGGCTCATATTTGATTATACTTGCGTATTTTTGATGACATTACAATATTATGGTACCATGAAGGCATATCAAGGGGTACCATAATGTAGTACCATATTACGATACCATTTCTGACGTTCGATTGAGCTTAAACTTTGTATACTACGTATTTTCGGTAACATCGTAATATGATGGCACCATGGAGCATATAAATTGGTACCTTCTATAGTACCATATTATGATACCACTTCCTGACGTTCATTTGGGCTCATATTTGATATATACTTACATATTTTTGATGACATTACAATATTATGGTACCATGAAGCATATCAAGAGGTACCATAATAGTACCATATACGATACCATTTCCTGGCGTTCGATTGGGTTTAACTTGGTATAGTAAGTATCTTCGGTGACATTGTAATATGATGGTACTATGATGCATCTACTATGATGCATATATAAAGTGGTACCTTAATATAGTACCACATTACGATACCACTTCCTGACGTTCGATTTGGCTCATATTTGATTATACTTGCGTATTTTTTTTTTGATGACATTTGCAATATTATGGTACCATGAAGCATATCAAGGGGTACCATAATGTAGTACCATATTACGATACCATTTCCTGGCGTTCGATTGGGCCCAAATTTGATATACTTGCGTTTCTTTATAAAGATTTGTTTAATTAATAATTTTAATTTATTTTATGAATTTTAATTTATTGTACGATGTCGGTGACAGCAACTTTTATGCTTAAGTAATATATTATTAATTGTACCTGTGTCACTTTTTAAAATCTACCTAGGTCTATATAAATAACGTGGCAAACAGAAAAAAATTGTTATTATAGTATTTTTTAGTCAATTAACATTTTTTGTACTGCATTTTAATAAATCGTTTCCATTATTATTAAACGTATATTTCATTACTAACGTTTCAGCATTAATAAATATCACTATCAATCGCCCTGTATATTATTAATTTTAAAGGTAGTTAAAGTTATTTTCTTAGTTAACATAATAAAGTAGTGTAGATATATTAAAAATGTATTTTGAGAGCATATGTTTTCTAATAATATACTTAAAATTAAAACTATTTTAAAAGCCAAACGAATAATTAATATAAGTGTATCTGACAAGAAACGAAGAATAGAAAGGAATTATTATACACCAGAAAAAGAATGGGATGCCAGTTAAAGTCTGTTTGAATCTGGCAACTGTGCATTTTTAGCCGAGCTTCAAGGCCGTCGACGTGCCGTCGATCTACGTCGACCCAAAACCGAAAGTTGAAAATTTCCAATTATATTCTGATTATGATATTGTCGCGCCATCTAGTATTCTATTTGTGCAATTTTAGCTCTTTCATTTCGAGTATTTTTCTGTTGCGTAGCTAGATATTCTGTGATTTAGGTCATTTATGACCCAAATAACTCATATTGAGTGAAATTAAAAAAAACTTTTTTTGCCGATCTTAATAGCCTACCATACCTGTTGGTTGGTATGGTCGGCTAAAAATCATCTCGATCCACTCAAATTTTTTTGAGCCGCCCTGTATAACCGAAAATATTTTCCTGAAATACATCCTAGTACATAGTTTAGGTTACACTTAAAGTTACACTTAAACAAAAGTTTTTTATTCCAGGAGCTACAGATGCCCGACGCACTATTGCTGGACCCTGTAGAGGAAAGTAGTCTATACTGTATCGGCTCCTATATCGTACTTCTACATATGTTATTTATAATTGCATTGTCAAAATATCTTATAGTATATTTTGTAAGTCCAATAAGACGTCCAGAAGTGGATAATATATTATCTTCTATATAGGGTGCTACAAATTCGAGGTACGAGCATTGGTATCTCGGAAACTACAAACATGGTTAATTACTACCTCGGAAAAGTAATAGATACGAACATGGTTAATTTATGGTTAGGGCAAATTTGCCACCTGGGGATGTTCACGAAGATGCCATCAAAAAAGTTTCAAAAATTTCAAGGTTGACGAGTCATTTGAAAAAAAAAACGATTTTTTGGGTTGGTTTAAAATCAATTTTATTTTTTCCTGTCGTTACTTTTTAGAAAATCCATAAATTAATTGCACATTCTCATACCCATTTTATCATGGCTACCTGATAGTATTTTTAGATTTTCAAATTAACTGATAATTATTTGTGAGACATATTGGCCAACTTATTTTGTTTTAATACGGAACTGCAATTTTTATTTCAAGACTTGAAAGAAT